ATTGTAGTTAGCAATGGCCAAAAGAATTTCAAGTGATGGCCAATGATTACGAAAAATAAATATAGCAATAAATTAAAAATATAATTGCAATGATCTTTCATAAAAAAAATTTTACAACTTGATCTCTCACAAGGTTAATGTTAATTATATACATACTAATCAATTCATATATATCAAACACAAATTTCTATTTTATGAAGAGTGTTTTTTGAAACTTCTTTTTAATGAGAGGATTTATAGAATTTTTTTTTAACTTCTTATCTAAATTTATTTTTTTTATCATAATTATTTATAATTAAAATATTAATATTTTAAAATAAATTATCAATAAATAAAAATAATATTTTTTAAAATAAAAATTATTTATCATAAATCTAACATATAATTTATATGTTTAAAAATATTTATATACTAATTTTAAATATGATTTATATATTTAAACATAATATTTATTTATATATAATTTATTATAAAATTTAATTATATAATATATATGCATATGCATTATACAAGTTAAAATACTAATTTTAATGAAATTTTATATCTCTCCCACTTTCTCTATCCATTGATATATTTTATTTTAGAGAAAGTTCGAATTAAAATTTTAATCCCTATACTTTATACCATTTTAGTTTAGTTTCTGCATGAAAAAAATTATAATCTTTGTCTCTATATGAAAATTACAATTTTGTGCCAATCATTTCGGACATTATAATGATATTAAAGTATTTTCTTATAGGGACTAAATAAAAAAAATGTGTTAGGTAGAGAACTAAAATGTAGAATTTTGTCTGTAAGTAATAAAATGAAGTTGTTGTAATTTTAATAATTATCAAATAATAAATAATATATCGTGTTAAATTACTAAATTTTTTTGAGTTTAAATTATACTTGAATTCATTGACGTTGATTGAAAATTGTAGGGGAATAGTCTTTTGGTGCAATAATCTCCCTCAATCAAATCATCAGATATTGTAAATGAGATTAGATATTTTTATTGTGATGGGGAGAGAAATGTTCTTCTGATTTGGTGTATTGGAAACTATAACCATTTTTTTTATTTTAAGTTTATTAGGATTCTCATTAACTCTTAATGGATCAAATTCGGTTTTCACCTTTAGGGTTTAAGGTTTAGGGTTCATGATATATACACCCCTCTTTTTTCTTTTTCTTTTTTTATAAGTACACTTCCTTTATTTTTTATTTTTAAAAAAATTTCTAAAATATATCCTTAATCATTTTTTAATTTTTTATCTCCAACTTTCAATTTACTACATCCTTTTTCTTTTCCACATACTTCATTCCTTCTACGTTTCAGTTTTCATATGTATCTTCTTGTCTTCCCTTAATTCCTCACTTATTTCAGTAAGTAGTTTTAGTTCTCTTGATTTTTACATTACAATCTTCTCTCATCACCACTCTCACTTTTTCACATGTACTCAGACCGTAAAATTGGTTCGTGACAATATTATAAGTACATGCGGTTTTTTCAACAATTTTTGCTGAGTTAGACACATTTTTTTTCTTCCAACACTTCCTCCCTTTTCACACCTCCAAAAACTCTAACATTACATTTAATATTATAGAAAAGGCATTTCAGAATACTAATTTTACTATTCTTGAGTACTTTTTGGTATAATGAAATTAGTGTTCTAAAAGGAATTTTTCAGAATTGTGTTTTTTTACATACTTTTAGAAAGTACTTTTCAGAATAGTAAATGTAGTATTTCAAAAAGTATTTTTGGAATGCTAAATTTACTATTTTAAAAAGAACTTTTTAGAATTATGTGAAATAACACACTTTCGAAAAGTATTTTCCAGAATAGTAAACTTAATATTTTGAAAAGTACTTTTCGAATAATAAAATTAATGTTTTGAAAAGTATTTTTTCGGAGGTGGTCGGAAAGTACTTTTTGAAACTAAATTTATTGTTATAGAAATTACTTTTCGAAAATATGTTAAAAATACAATTCTAAAAAATGTTTTTAGGAACACTAATTTTCCTATTCTGAAAAGTATTTTTTATAACACTAAAGTTATTTGATGTGTAAATGAGGGAAGTTTTCAAAGAAAAAAAATTACACATTTGGCTCGGTACTTTCGACACTATCGAGGAAGCTACAAACACCTATAATGTTATTGAAAATTAATTCTATCTCATGGATGTGTGTGAAAACTAAAAGATGAAAGAAAAAAGATAATAGTGTAAAAATTGAAAGAGAATGGGAAAGATAGTACTGTAAAACTAAAAGAATTAAAATTACCTTCTAAAATAGGTAGAGAGTAAAAACAAGATAAAGAAAAAAAAAATAGAAAAGGAGATATGTGAAAAAAAGTGCTAAATTAAATGTTAAGAGCGTAAAATTAAAAATCAAAAACTAAAAAATGAAAGATATTTTAAGAATTTAATTTTTTTAAAAAGAAGCGTGCTTATAAAAAAATATCATGAGCCTTTTTCTATTAATAATTTAAAGGTTCATTAAAATTAGATTATTTTTATTGAATTTGAACTATACATAAATAACTAATATATATGTTATAAATAATATATATATATATATATATATTATCAACTAATATATATAATTTTAGTAGTAACTTACTTTTAAAATAAAAATATTTTACAAACACTCATCAAGAGAAATTTCATTGATAAGAGGGAAATAGGAAAAGAAAATGGCACGTGAATTTTGACTATTTTTTTTTTTTTACTGTTTTAAGGATGGATAAGGTACAAAAGATATAATCTCGTAAACTGTTTTCAAAGATTTTCTTTTCTTCTCAAATTTGTCTTATTAACCTAGATTTTCTTATTTATTAATTTATTAAATCAGTTTGCCATTCTTTCTGTGTGTCTTTATTTTTTGGCCGGAGAAGCAGCATTGGATTTGGAGAGTCTGGAGAGTATCTGTTTTCCTCAATTTCTGCCTTTTCCCGTGTTTCCTGATCCTTCCTTCCTCTCTAAAGAGGTATTTATATCGTGATTCTATTCTATCAATTATATTGGTCAAACACGTTATAGTTGAATATATATTTTTAATTTCATATCATATAAAATGATAAACTAGAATAACAATAAATTAATTTTGGCATATAATCAACGATAAGCATAATATTCACAAGTTTGTAGCATTAGAATTTATAATTAAACTTGAAAATATTCTATCGAAAATAAGCCAAAATATTATAATGATATCGTCTAGCTTCTTTTTTTTTAACTGAATATATAGTATAGCTAACACTATAAAAATAGTCGGGTGGATTAATTTCTTTATATTTAAGATTATTTTTTATGATTATTTTATTGGTGTGAAGTATATTTAAGAGTTATTTTAAATCAATTTTTAAATGATTATTTTTCAATTTAAATTATTTAATTTTATAACCTAAAGAGATCAAATATTTAACTGATTCATTTTTTTTAGTGGAACTGATATGCCAGACAAATAAAATATGTATTAATTGTTTATATGGATTGTTTAGTTAGACAAAATAAAATATTCTTTAGTGAGACTAAAGTTAAAATTAAAACAAAACGCAACACATAGTCTTAACCAACACACTAATAATTATATGAAGCAATATTACAATCTTAAAACAACGAAAAATCAAAAATGAAATTTAATAATAAAATCATATTACCATCGCCAAAACAATATTATAAGGGTAAAAAATAAATGAGATACAATTTATAAAGTATGATAAAATGACATTTAAAAAATAATAACGGAGTGATAAATTATTAAAAAAAATAATACAAAAATATAAAAATATTGTCAATTATAGATAAATAAAATTTATAATAAAGTAATAATATAAAAAAATATAATAATACCATGTGCTGATTAGATAATCACACCCTCTCAAGTCTCAACCCAAAACTTGGTATTTCACCCATCTACAGATCAAAATAAGAACAAAACCTGACATTTATTATTAGAGAATTTTACATAAAAGAAATTCATCATATTATTGAACGAAAGAGTATTATATAAAGACTCTGATTACAAAAATTAACTACCTACCAATTAAGCTCATAGAAATAACAGTAATAATAGAACTAACAAACTTATATCTATATTCCTAATACAAGAAACTAACTACTTTAAGATTTATTTCTATATTATTTTTGCTCTTATATTTTGTTTGATCTTTTAGTGGCTAATTGAGCATTGTAGGCGCAGGGACGCAGGGTCATTTTATCAATTTTTAAACAATTAATCAATGTGGGCATTCAATACTAAAAAAATATTAGTTAAATTAACATTTTCCATGCAATGTAATCTTTATTTTACATGGATCACATGTGATATTTAGATAAACTGAAATTATAGTGTCTCTGGCATTTTCGATGTCAACTAAATAAAAGATGCTAATTATATTATAGTTTTTGTTTTTTAGATTTGACACATGGCGCTAATGCACTAGACAATTCTATAAGAAATGGCTAATGACTCTGGTCTAATAAAAAAGAAAAATTTGACAGCAACTAATCACATCTAGCATTAGATCCTTCCATATGAAACAAAATTTTAATGACATGTGTGCTCGACATGGATTAATTGTTTCAAAGCAGCCAAATATTGGTATGGTGATTTAGCCTCGGTTTGTATCTGAAGACCGTCAATGGTGATAGCTTGGAAAGCTTTCCATAACCACTCCACACGGGAACAGGTTTACCCATTCTGATTTATTTTTTATGAATCAATTTGAAATACAATAACATCTACAGTTTGAAGAAAGAAAAAAATAGTCATCTAAAATAATCCAGAGTCTGATTATCTCAACATGGGAATTTCCACGCTGTCCAAATGTGAAGTTTAACGTTAATACAAAATTCTTCTTTGTCGCCATGTTTATCGGATAGGGTGGCAAAGATACCCCAAATCAAAAGAATAAGGAATGCAAACAATAGTCAATGCGGAATTGCAGATGCATAATAAAAAAAACTGATTAGCTGTGGATCTAAGCTAACAACTGGTTGATGAATAATAGGAGCATAGTTAAACTCTAGAAATTTTATTTAAAATAATCTTTATAGTTAGTACTTAGTACACATAGTAATAGTATTACAATACCAGCTAACAAACTATTTACAATAGCATTCTCTTGTAATGAGAACATTTACCTTAATAATTACAGTACACATGGTAAAAATGCTAGAAAAGCTTGCTACCAAACTCTTCACTATCATTTTCTTCGTGTGAGGATGAAATTTTAGCACCAATTTGCCTGAGTTGTGAGAGACTCCTACCTAGCTGTAAAGCCACTTTGATTTCAAACAACTCCCCATTTTCTCTTTTATTGGGATCTTGTTCATTAATATTAAGTTCTATGCTCTCTCCCATGAGCTTAAAGAAGCCAGTGTTTGCCCTATACATCTCAAACACCATCCCTACTTGCCCCCCATGCTCTATTGTGTTAACAACACTTGCCAAAGCACCTCCAATAACCCCAAGCATCACAGGCCAAGATCCATTCACAGAACCCAAGAAGCATGAACCCAAAGCTGCAAGGCCAGTGAGTAGTGGACCAGAAACTGCCAACACCTTGTTGAAGTTCAAAACCTCTTTACTCATCCTCAAGTAGTCTTCCATGTCCTTCTTTTTCAAAACCATCACAATCTTTCTCATTTCATCTTCTAACCTTGCATCCCAACCATTCTTTCCTTTCAACTTCCCACCACACAACTCTTCTTTTCTTACACACCTTTGCTTCTGTTTAGGCCACCACACCGCTGGCTCCACGGTTTGAGGGAATTTCTCAAGCATTGATCCCAACAAAGGAAGAGGGTAAGCCCTGTCCAATGCCAGCACTTTCTCCATTGCTTCATCAACATCACTCTCACTAGGATTCCCCATAGAAATTCTTGTTCTGAGTTCTCTATGAAGCTGCTTGAACAGCCTAGCAGCATTTCTCTGCTCCTCTGCGAGTTGTGATGGTTGAATTTTGTTCATGACCACAAGTAGCCCTGTGGCTGCCATGTAAAGAATTGTGGAGGACACTTTCAAGGCCACAATAGGTGCTCCAATTGAACCAACACCTGCAAGGCCAACCATGGTTGCAGCAGAGAGAGTGATCATGTTAACAGATGTTGTTAGAAGGTGGTTCCAATTGTCGCGCTGTGCTCCAATGTTCTTGTGCATTTCCACCCTATCTGCTACAATCTCCATAATCAAATGAAGCTTAGCGACCTCCATGGAATTTGTAGAACTTCTGCTAGGTGCTGTGGAACCGTTGGTGTTGATATTGGAGTAGTAAGGATCCTCTTTTGCATGAGTTGTGGGGGTGGCTGAAATGTAACTATTTAGATAACCATAATCCAATTCTGCCACCAAGCTTCTGTTGGGAAGCCTTGGAGTGGAGATTTTGGTTACCTTGATCTTTGGCACATTGATTGTAGCAGCTATTCTTCTTGTACTACAATATGACAAAGAAAATAATTTGCTAGAAACCGTAGTGGTTCCCATGCTATGTCAATATTCAGTACTCTTGCTGTTTTTTACGAAGGCCTTAATTAGTAATGGTTAAGTTGTATGTGATTGAGAACACGTTTGGGATTCAATTGTGACACTTTCTCTTATAGCACATTCATATATATGTATAAGAGGTGGAAATGTGAAATGTGATTGAGAAGTTTCCCAACACGGTTGGGTAGACTGAAATCTATGTTTGTCCTTTCATTTTGGCTACTTCTGCTACGAGTTCTCCCTCTTAAGCTGACTTTCAACAGAAATAACGAGTAAACAAACCCTGTAATGCCATAAATAAATAAATAAATAAATAACTTGTTATATCAAGTCCTGAAGAAGAGTTTAATTAATGATCTTGCAAAAAATAAAAAGATGAACCTCTTGTTGAATGTTTTAACCTGCTTCTTTGACAACCAACAACCATAATATGATAATAATATCTGCAATAATAAAACGTATATATACCTCGACAAGAAACAAAAACACATGGCTATGCTTAATATTTTATTTGATTAATCATAACGTTTTGACAGTTTAATAACGTGTTACTCGAAGTCCTTTTTCTTAACATTTGTGCATTCATTCACGTGGGTTGAGTAAAATTGATTTTCCATGGCTGGTGACTAATGACCATGGGGTGCCGCGGTTGTTCTCTTCTCTTGTTCACAATATATGATGGCTTTGAAATTAATGCTACATATTTGTTAAGTACAACTATAACTCAAAATGGTCAGAGGTTTCTTTTTCTGACCACTTCCTCACATAATCCCCACGCATTGTGATTATAACTTTTTGGGCAACCTCAGTAAAAAAAGAGCTAAAGAATTCTCTCGTGTTCACACATTCATCACCTTTTCCCAAGTTGAATACTATACCTCATTTTGCATGGCATGTATTTTACTATTTATATAATATTAATGTAAAAATTACATTTTAAGTATAAAATCATTAAAAAAAAATGGTATGATTTACAATCAAATTTTGGTTGTCACGTTGAAAATGTTTAATTAATTGAAATTATTTGGCATCAATTAAATTTCGATGACAATGAAAATGAAATCATCGATATTATATATTTGTATTTAATATACTCAAATCATGTCATACACTTTCTATTTTCTAAATTGTTGGGTTAAAATAGGTTTTGTAAAAAAAAATGATAGGACAAGTATATATATTTAATATACTCATCATGTCATTGAGTCTTTATAAATTGTTCTGTCAATATTATTGTGTAAAAAATGATATAGGATAAGTCATGAGTATATTTTATTTATATACCAACTAACTCTACTTTCAACTTTATAAGGCCGCAAGTCAACGACCTCTTATTTTCGGTATTTACACTTGCTAACAGCCATAAAAAGCCAATGCGCAAATTAGAACCTAACCTAACGCGAAGAGTTGTCTCAAGTCTCAACTTTCACGAATTCAGACAGACCACGTGCTATATCTTCCTCTCAGGCTCAACAACACACATTGACAATACAAATTCTCATAGAAGTGCATAAAATCGTGATAATACAAAGATTTAATATATTTGCATGTTTCTCAAATGGTGTTGTTCTGTTTATGAACCTTTCACATTATGAATTGTATTTATTTTTTTTTAACAAGTTATTACGTTTAAAGAATTTTTATTACAGCGCATCATTTATAATCATCCGGTTGTTTTGAGCATCCATATCTGTAATATCAACTGCAACAAATGGTGGTAATGACCCTAGAGGAAGAACGAATTTCCCCCAAAATAAATCAAGAATTATCCAAAAATATATTCACCCACTGAGAAAGTTGCCAGGAATAATGAACTGTTTGGTGCTTAGTTATTGCTTTGTGTAATTGTCTTCAATATTCATTTGTCATTTATACATGACTAACATGAGGAATAAAATTCTCAAACTTCTAAATTCCAAGCATCACCAATTAATGTCTACATAATCGACAAACTAAAATATCTTGCCAACACATTAACTTGAATGGCAGATCTTCTTTTGATATGTTTAAAATGATGCAAACTACTCTGGAAAGAGTAATAGTGTCCTTGCAAGCAGGAGCATCTACTTATTAAGACTGTAAACGGTAATCTTTCAGGCTTTAGTCAATGCCATTGATCGTGCTCTAAGGTTCAAGAATATTCCCCTGAAATAAAATGCACCCAATGAATGATCTCAATTTAGTTGTTGTTTACCAATGGGAATGATCATCAAGAAGTCAAGGAAAGCAGAAGGAAAGGCAAACAAGAAACATGTACCAGCAAAATGCTACTAAGCTGTGGAAAACAACACGGAAATGAAGAGGCAAGAATTTGTGATTTATCCACCCCACAACAGGCCAGAACTGCAGTTAAATTCATTGGGGTTCCAAAGTCAAAAACAAAATGAAAAAATGGTATAAATTATGTTATTTGCTATACTTATAATAGAATACTACCGTCCATGATGTGTATTGCACTGATGGATAATCCTTCTTAACTTTAGCTTTCACATGAACCCATGGTCGGCCTGAAATCCACCTCTTTCATCATAAACAATTTACAACCAAACATGCCATTTGACACGTCATTTTTAGGATAAATAATTTTTAAAAAAACAAGTAAACAAATAGTTGACCAAAAATGTCAGAGTTGGGTACCCTATTTTTGACACTTGATGAGAATTATTCTACTTGTCCACATTTTCCACATGTATCTTACTTGGGAGTATTTCCATGTTTCTCCAGTTTAAATAAAGAAATTAGATGTTGAGAAAACTGAAAAGACTAACCTTCAACAACTAATCCGTAGTAAATCAAGAAAAGGAAATTGTTCCAAGGAGAAGATGTCAATTGTTCAATCAGAACCTGAACAAGAAAAATCAAAGTAGCATTTAAGTGTAATATAACACAACTTGTAAACCCTGCCTTTTTTTTTTATAGGATATGTAAATTATTTCACTTCCAATAAATTCTTTGCAGTTCAGGATCAAAGTGCTTCAAACCCTACTGCATAAATAAGCTGATATTTCATGCTGCAAAAACTGTAAGAAAAGCTGATTGATGACAAAGGTACAAAACTGAAATGCCAGAATTTAGTTAATGATAGATATAATTGAAACTGAAGGCTTTGCAGTCTGACCTTCTTGGCCACAGTTTTTGAATCTTTCTTTCCTTTGAAAATTTTATCCAGCATCAAATGAAAGTAGTGTCCAAAGGGTCCAAGATAAGCGGCTCCAAAAACCTGCATGCAATAAACGACTTATATGATTCCTAATGCTTAAATATAATAAGAACAAGAAAAATCACAAGCCACTCATAACCGTAGAAGCTAAAACTTCAAACGTAAATTAAGTAAGCAGTGCATGATTCGCGTCTATTTCGGCCATTTATTTAGGCATGGCATAGCTCATCAAAATGAGTAGTAACAAGTTAATTTTTATTCTGGCGAACCAAAAAAAAAAACCCATTTCAGCATTTTTAAAACAGCTTTTGAAAACAGAGTTTCAATTTTCTATCACCCCCACCCCTCAAAAGTCCAACCTCAATTGTCTGCACTTTCTCTTCCACAAAAATATCAAAAGAATAAAATACACCCCTCTTTGAGATGCTTAAATTCCATCGTCTTACCCTCTTGTTTTAAAAATTGCACTTCCCTTGCTCAGCAACCAAGAAAAAAAAAATTACACTTCCCTTTCTTGATCAATTTGCACACACTTTCAGTTTATTTTAATGTAAATGAGGCTGTTAGCTATGAACAAACCTTGTAAGAGTATTTTTCTTTTGTTTTCAACATTTAAGATCACGACAACTAATTTTGACCACCAATTACTATCAATTTGCATAATAGATGCAGACTTGAGAGTATTTTAATGTACTAAAAACTGAACACTTGCCCAGTAAACTTTGAAACTTCACCCACTTTATATATATTTTATAAAGTCCCAAAGTTTTTAGTAGAAATTCAAACCTAATTGCAGAGAGCAATAAAAAAAAGGGAAATTTAACCCTAAGATATAATACATATTAATCTTTTAAGGGAAGGCAATTTAAGCATCAGTCAAGTGGACTGTAATTTACTTATATTAGAACTTTATGTTATTATTCTATACTAGTTAGGAATTGGGTAGGACAAGAGTTGAAAAAAAAATGAAAGGGGAAAGAAGCTGACCACTTTGAGAAGAAGGCGTTTGACTTGAAGTTTGTGTATTCCAGTAAGTTTCTGAGACACAATATCGCTGATTGCTGATAATACCCCTGCAGTGATTACCTGGTTTAACCCCGAATGAAGTGGTCAACGAATATGGATGCAAAAGAAAAAAAAGAGTAATGGACGCGAAGAAGAGGATAAGGAACCTTGGTTCTGAGAGGGTGATGCTGGAGCTGTTTGACGTAATTGTTCAGTCCCTTCTTTGCCAAAGAACCCATCTTGCTCCCACCCTTTGACTCGATAACAATTAACAACTAACAGCAACAAGTTGTTGGGATTGCCACTAGTGCATATAATTACTATGCTTCTTGTGCCAAAATATCTTCAATTGCCAGGAGAGGACATTAACCCACGTGCTTGTCGTGCCACAATCCCATTTTATTTCTCACTTCATAATTTCATCTTATCTTATTTATTTATATTAAACCAAACAATTTCGTTATAAATTTTTCAGTAATATTTTTAAAAACTTATTGAAAGATAAGTAAAATATAAGAAATTATAAGCTAGTGTTAATAGTTCGATAGATATCAGGTTTATATTATGGTGTGTGTAATTTTTATGAATATTTTAAAAAAATGTTATTTAAAGTAGCATTTTAAGAATGCTATAAACTGTTAAATGAAGTTTTTTATTTTATCTCCAATTACTCAAAAAAAAATTGTTTATTAAATATTATTAATAAGGTGAAATAATTATTTTTTTATTAAGATAAACATTAGAAATTACTTTAAAGGACTTGTGAAACATACACATAGAGCTTGTAAACATCACAATGTTGAAAGAGTCATTCTTTTCGTATCAACACACTTACAAAATACTTAATTCCTCTATTCTTTATCATAAACAAAAAATACACTTATATTGGATGGAATTCAGAATCACGCATCATCCAAGTGTCGCACCCAGTCAACAGTCTTGGCTACTTAGGCCAAGGCACGAGATGATGAGTGCACTAAGCAAAACACCAAAGCAATGCCCTGATCTTTGGCCATCTTGGCACCCAAAGATGCTAGCCATTAGGCACAATGCATACCCTTTTTGCCTTTGAATAGCCTCGGCTCCATGGCCTAGACATAGTCTCAAGCATCTCAACCTGATTGGTAGTTGATCGGACCAAAGGGAAAGGAACATTCTAGCCCTATTGATACACAATCAGGCCGAAACATCATAAACTAAAGAGAAATTAAACAAATTATAATGGACAAAGAGCTCGAAGTGTAAACATGATTAAGCAATAATCTGTCATTACCAATTAGATTACCTAATTATAACAAGTTCCAAAGATTCAAGCCCATTACGATTAATAATATAAATAGTTATACAAAACGAGGTAAAATTACGGTTTATTTATTGTTATAATAAATATTTGTACTGAGAGTGTCTTTTGTAAGTACTTTTCTCCTATTTCTCTCGTCTTGAAGCTCTTGATCAGCGTTAAGATCGTTATCCATTATATGAAAATTATTAATGTGTCATTAAATATGTACAACACCTATTATTTTTTAAATATAAATAAATTTTAATTATTTTTGTCTCATTTAATGATACTCATTATCATCATAAAATATCATTTTATTAATATGACATTTTAGTTGTATTTTTTTATTATTTATATTTATTACAAAAATAATTTTTTTAAAATTATAAAATTAGTAAAATTTAATATAAATAACTAATTTTTTAATAAGTACAAAATCAGTTTTCTTTTTTATTGAGAATATAGGGAGTATTTTTAAAATAAATTATCCGTAGTTGTTGTATTGGTTTATTAGTTACACTTACATGCAAAATTAAGAAAGGGTATTCTTGAATCGAAACAGTCCCACCTCCGATATATCTACTACGAGAGGAAAGCAATCCCTAACATCATCCAGTGGGTTTTTCTTTATGGCATATAAAAAATTTATATATATATATATATATATATATATATATGATCAAACTAAAAACATCTGTAACAGTGACGTTTACAGTTGAGTCAAAAAGTTACACTGAAAACGTCACTACCGGTGACGTTTTTAGTTGTTTTTTCCCACGTGAATAGTTAAGTGAACAGTACAAACTCGCCACTCAGGTTGACGCTTTCCAAAATCGTCACTCCACTTGACGCTTTCTTCATCCTACGTGTCCAAAATTATTTATTTTGGTAAATAGTTTTTTTATTAATTTATTTTAGAAATTTTGTTTTTTTATTTATTTATTCTGGTTCTTAAGCTTATTATAAATCTCGCCTATATTTATTTATTTATTTATTTTAAAAGATAAAAAAGATTAGAAAGGTGGTTGTAATGAAAATTGAACCTAAATTCTCATACTTCTAACTACTCTAACCTTTTTCTACCTAATTACTAGACTAATCTTAGTAGTCAACTGTCACCTATATGATATGAATAAGTCAAAATTAAGAAAATTAAAAATACTAAAAATAAATTTCTAAAAAAATTATTTATCAAAATAAATAATTTGTACTACGCTGACATGTGAAAAACACTTTTGATTCTCATGAAAAATTACATAAAATGTTGGGACTTAAGCATTTTCTTAATCTTTTGATACATTTCATTGGGTGGTTGGGATAAATTAACAAAAAACGCCTCAGTCTCAATGTTTTTATTTTATTTTATTGGACCATCAAATATATGTTTCCTTCATTTATTGTTATTCATCTCTTGTTTCAATTTTTGTTGTGATAATTGTTTTTCAGGTTTATTTTGTTGTTTGAGGTTTTTGTTAGTAAATATTTTTTCATTTCTCTAATTTATATTATTTATTATTGATTGTTAGATTTTTTTTTCTAAATTTTGTTGTTCTTTTTTATAAATACCTTTTGTAGTGAAGTTGTTGCTTATATTTTCTTAATATAAATTTCTAATTTATTTTACATGTTGGTGTTAAGCAAATATCGTAAATTAATATTTTCTTATTTCTATTTTCTTCGAAGGTTAGTTTCAATATTTTAAAAAAAAATTTATTTATTTCACATTATTTGTTAAGTTATAGTTTAAATATTATGAATTGAATATTTGTGGTAGTGATTATTTTATTATATAATAATTTTTTTTGTGAAATATTGTATATTTAGTTATTCTTTAATGTGTAGAAATAAGAAAATGTTGATGATTTATTTATTTTATTAGTGAAATATTGTATATTTAAGTTTGTAGTTAATAATTCTTTTATGAAGTGTGATAGTTTTTTTTTCTTTCAAATTTTATGTTTTGCATTAAATGTATTTTCTTATATTGATTGGAGTTAATATTAGTTTTTAAAAAAATAATGCTTGTGAGTAGGGTGTTATCTTTGTAATTTCCCTTGCACCCAGCCAAATTTGTATAGAAAATATATATATATTTTTTTTTAAGTATCAAAAGGAACCCTAAACCCTCAACCATTTATTTACCAAAGTAAATCTTTTTAGGGTTGTAACTCAGAATTTGATTTTCGGAGAGCCAATTTGTAAATTTCGTTTCCTCCATTTTCAATGATTATTCCTATGAGAATTTGATCCTTAGGGAGCCAAATTCTGAATAGAGTTTTTTATTTTTATTTTTTAATGTTATTTTTTTATAAAATTATAGTTTATGTATTTATTTAAAATAATATATAATTAATAAAATAATAAATAATATTATGTTTATATGTTTATTTAAATATGTAAAAAAATTTAATAATTTATAATATAAATATGATACATTAATTATGAATAAAAATTTTATTTAAATAAAAATAAGTTAATTAATATTAAATATTAATGTTATGATGATAATAAAGAGAAGAGTAGCAGAACTATAATAACAACACTCGAAGACTTATAGAATGCATAATGGTCGAAGCTAGCAACTCATTCATCTATATATAACAATTTTTTTGAATGATAAACGTTATCTCTGATGACGTTTTCATGGTCAAAGAAACACTCCCTGCTTGCTTGTTCAGAGAGAGACATTAGGTTCAGATAGGTTCAGAGATTCAGAGAGGGTAGGCATAGAGGGGATCAAACTAAAAACATCTGTAACAGTGACGTTTACAGTTGAGTCAAAAAGTTACACTGAAAACGTCACTACCGGTGACGTTTTTAGTTGTTTTTTCCCACGTGAATAGTTAAGTGAACAGTACAAACTCGCCACTCAGGTTGACGCTTTCCAAAATCTTTATGCAAAAATAAGTGTGACCGTTATGAATAGAATATAAAGATAAATGATGAAAAACTGAAAAGTGATATATTGTTGACCAGAAAAGCCATTGTTAAATAATATTGTGATGTGCTCAGTTGTGTAAAAGTGAAAATAACAAAAAGTCAAGAATGACTCAGAACTGAGCTGGAAAAAAACAATGTTGACAATAACTAGGGATGCATTCAAAAGAGAGTGAGGCTCTCACAAACAAAAATTCTCTGAAATATATATATATATACCCATTAATTTGTTTTTAAATAAATAGTATATGCATTCACATTGCACAATATAGTCATTCAATTACATAGTCATATATTATAAGTTTGTTAATGATAATTTATGATTAATTAAAGGTGTAATTAACCGTGACAGTCTGACAGAGATTAATTTCTTAATTTTTATTGTAAAAAAATATTATGTGGTAATTCTTTCACCCTTTTGGGGCCACTACCATGTCCCTTTTAATTCCTGACACTTTTTGTTTTTTTTTATTTAAAAAAAAACTTAGTATAACTTTGAATGAATTTACTTTATGCGTCGATAATGTAATCATTTGATAACAAATTGTGATATATAACATAAATTTGTTAATGTTTTATTAAAATTATCTTAAGAGTCCTATAAATAATATTTTTGATCGATTAATCATATAAACATGACATTATATAGAAATTAAACTCTTAATCTTTTTCAACATTTGAATAAAATTATTTTGCGAATATATAGCGAAATATTTTTGAAGCATGTATATATGAAATGTATAATGCTTTTTGGCAAGCATGAGCTATTGCGTAGCATCTTCGTGATTACGTTCTTTCAATTCAACTCTGCTATACATTCTTGACGCACCAACGTTGAGTTGCCGCTGCCTCTCCCCGCCCCCTTTCCTTTTTGCCCTTGCTTGACTTTTATTAATCCTCAATTAAACCAAACCACTCAATTTTCTTGGTTCAAATTTAAACTAAACATGATAATTCTATTATTTCTCAAATTAATTCAGCTTTATCGTATCAAACACTTCGTGCTCAATTTTGCTCCTCAAATTAATTTCTAATGACGGGGATAGCCAACATCGGCATAAGGATTGGCTTAACGTTTCAAACATTTAATTTTTATACTGTGCCTAAAGCCAAATTTCACTCTTAAATTACTTTTCCTTGTTCTTCAAATCTTAATCTTCCATAAAGTCCTCACACGAGCTAGCACGTAACCGAACTTCAACTTTTCAAAATAAACAGTGTGCGGGCATTTTAAGACGTAAATCGTATGGCCAAAGAAACTTCAAAATTGAAGACTATCCAACGGGGAAACAGTAATAGTTTGTCAATGTATTGAAAATGTAAAATTAACTAAAAGACTATAGCAGTCACAGGCTTTGTTAAGTGCATGCTAAAACAACGTAGTGCAGCCTTATACGTTGTTTTACTACGTCTCATGTTGAAACCCAAAACAAACCACAAACGAGGCTGGGAATTTTGAACAGAGACCATGTCAATATTTGATTTTGACTTTTTTCCTCCCCTTCATTATAAATACTAACACCCACCTTCGCATCTAAACATCCACAACTTCATATTTTCTCAACACTGCACGTATAGAGAAAAAAAACTACAACTAATTACCCATATATAATGGCTTCCATTTCCATGCAAACCTCATCCTTACTTTCTCGTTCTTCTTTGTCTTCAAGGAGATCAATAGATGCCGCAATCCACGTCCCAAAACTCCCAAGAATCGATGTTTCAGTGCCAAAGGTACGTACCATGAAGCAAGCTGAGGAACTAATACCCAAAGGCAGAACCCCATTATTAGAAAAGAGTACACATGTACAACTACACGACAATGAACAAGAGCATTCTACAAACTCCGACGCCCTTATTCAACTCTACGCAATCCTGGAAGCTGTATCTGACAGGGTTGAAATGCACAACAACATGGCCGAGCAACGTGACAACTGGAACACGCTTCTTTTGAACTCCATCAACATGCTCACACTCACTGCCACAACCATGGCTGGTGTTGCAGCCACGTGCGGTGCAGGTGCACCGCTTTTGGCTTTGAAGCTATCTTCTGCTCTCTTGTTTTCAGCGTCCACGGGGATGTTACTCATCATGAACAAGATCCAACCCTCTCAACTCACGGAGGAACAACGCAATGCTTCTAGGTTGTTCACGAACCTCCAAAGCGAAATCCAAACCACAATTGCACTCGGGAATGCTAGTGAACACGACGTGAAGGGTGCAATGGAGAAGGTTTTGGCGCTTGACAAGGCTTTCCCACTTCCCTTGTTGGGAGCAATGCTTGAGAAATTCCCTAAAAAATTTGAGCCTGCTGTTTGGTGGCCTAAGCCTTCTAAACCCCAAGAGGGAAAATCAAATATTATTGGAAAAATGAATGGATGGAGTGAGGAACTTGAAATGGAACTGAGGGAGGTTGTTGAAGTGGTGAAGAGAAAAGACAGTGAGGACTATGACAGGCTTGGGAACATTGCATTGAAGGTTAACAAGAGTTTGGCCATTGCAGGTCCTTTGCTCACAGGTATCTCAGCATTAGGATCTGCATTTGTTGGCAATGATTCTTGGGGAGCATTGGTTCCCCTCGTGGCTGGTTCATTGGCTTCAGCAGTTAACAGTTTCGAGCATGGAGGGCAAGTTGGTATGATTTTTGAAATGTACAGAACCTCGGGTGGCTTCTTCAAGTTGTTGGAAACCTCTGTTGAATCAACTTTGGAAGAGGAAGATTTGGAGCGAAGGGAAAATGGGGAAGTGTTTGAAATGAAGATGGCTTTGAAGTTGGGAAGAAGTGTGTCGCAACTGAGGGAGCTTGCTTCTAAATCAGCTTCGTATCGCATGGAAGGAGTGCTTGATGTTGACGAATTTGCAAGCAAACTGTTCTGAGAGAAAATGTTTAGTGAATAGTTGTTCTTTCATTCTTTTTGTGCATGCAGTTGTTACCTGACGTAGGAAAAACAAAATTAGTTACACACTTGTTTTTCAATTTTGAGAACCAGGATCGCAGTGTCTTGGTCTTCTACGATATTTGTTTTCAGAATTTGTTCTTCAAACATTAATTTGTATTTTAAATATATAAATATTTGACTCTTGTTGCTATTAGTGGTAAAATATTGAACAACGATACAATATAAAAAAAATTATTGTTTTTTATTGTGAACCAATAAAAATTTATTATCTAAATATTTTTAAGTTATTATAAAATTTTAATAAGTATATATACTTTTTATGCGATCAATTAATTAATAATAATAAAATAAAATTATATTATAATAGTCAACAATCTTATTATATATATTAGTTTGTGATCGAAAATACGGTAAAAATTATTTACATTTCTCCTCTCTCTCTATGTATATATTATTTATTTTTTATTATAAAAGTTAATATATAAACTTAGCATGCATAATATCATATGTGATTGAATGATAATGATAAAAAAAAACCTCTATTATCAATATTTCATTTTTCTCTACTTTTTTAATCAAATAATTCATTTTATTTTACATTTTTTACTCTTTTATGTTTCTCTAACACGGTAAGAATTGTTCAAAACAAATAATTACGTAAAATATTATTATTTTAAAATATTTTATTAAAATTCAAATCTTGATGCATATATTGAATTAAAAATCTTAATTTTTTTAAATCAAATGAATTTTAAATTATGGTAATTTAATCGTTCATTTTTATATTAAATTTTAAAATTTTAAATTTTGACATAACATATCAATAAAAATAAATAACATGATAGTTAAGAATGTGTATTGAATTAGAATTTTAATGAATTTTAAAAGATTTTTTTTACTATAAAATAGTCTTTGGCTATTTAGTTAAGACTTTTTTCAACATAAAAAATATTTTATGTAACATTTAATTAAAAAAATCTTAAATTTTTTTAAAAATTTGATAGTATTCAATTAAAACTTTTTTCACTTAAAAAAAAATTTGTTGGTATTAAAAAAATATAGAAATTTTTCAATGGATTATTTTGTAAGAAATTTAATTTAGTATAATTTACATATAATTCATTCGTTTAGCAATTTTATCAAATCTCTTGAGATTTCGCATAATTTTGTTAGCTTTCATTTTTATTTTGTCTTTTTTGTCTCTCTCTTAAATTTTTTGTCTCATCTTTTTTGCTTCTCTCTCATCTTCTTTTCTCTTTCATTCTCTCTCTTCTTTTATTTTTTATCTCATTTTTTATTTTTCTTTTTATTCATTTCTCTTATTTATCTCTTCTTCTTCTTTGTCTCATAATCTTCTTTTTTTTTCTCTCTTTTTCTTACTTCTTTTTCTCTTTCTCTCTCTTTCTTTTCTATCTTATTTATCTTTATCTTTTTACTTATCTCTCTCATTTATCTCTGCTTCTTATTATTCTTCTCTTGTAATTTTTTTTAATTTATGTATAATTTATTGATATTTTTTAATTGATGCATAATTTATCAATATTTTAAATTATTAAATATTTAAAATGATTTTTTTGTATTATTAAATATTGTTTGTTGTTAATTTTTTTAAATTACTAAAATTTAATTATTTTATTTTTAATAAAATTTAATATTGAAATATAAAGTTTTGAAACATATATTAAAAAAAACTTCGGTCAAGGTAATGACCCTCGAAATTCATTTTATATCATGCATCTTAAGAAATATGATTGAGAGGATATTTAGTATTTTTAAATCACGCTTCATAATTTTTAAGTTGGGACATCTATTTCTATTTAAAACACAAACTAAAATTGTATTAACATGTAACATTATATAGTTTTTTTTTCACAAAGAATGTCGGATGAATTTTCAACTAAATTAGTAGATAAATCTTCATCTTCAATGTTATAATTAATTAATGAAATTTAGACTCAAGTGCATAAAAGAGAATATGTTAATGTATGGAGGACTAATATAACTTTAGATATATAAAGAAATGTTAGTTAGAAATTTAGGAGGATATTAAAGTCAATTATTTGACAAAAAAATAGAGGTAATTATTTGTCAAAAGATAAAAAAATACTTATATTAATTTTACTTTTCTTTATTATTTATGTTATATTTTTTTTTTGTTAAATCTTATAATATTATAAATATTTTTTTTTAAATCCTTTAGAATTTTATAGTATAAATTTATTAAAATTTGTATTACAAAATCTTGATTCAAATTTGAATTACAAAATCTTTTAAAATTCACTAAAATCACAAAATTCTTTCATACTAAAATTATCTTTAGAAATCCTAATTGCATCCCTAATTTTAACTTAATATTAGAATGAATTTTATCGCCTATAATATTTATAACGAACTTGATCGTGATAATTTATAATAAAAGATATATGTGATTCGTAAAAACGAAATAAATGGATGAGAGTCAAAGAAATTTTATCAGACCTCAAAGAGTGCGACTATGTAATTTTTTGTAACAAAGATGGTGCGGTTTGATTTAATAATTTGATTTTATAATTTCTTTCTCAATTTTAAAGCACTCACTACTAGAAAAATGTTATTTTTCTGCAATTTTTTTTAAAAAAAAATTTTACAGATTTTTTTTTTTACGAATTTTCTTATAATAATAATTTTACAAAATTTTTTACAAATTTATTTGCAAAAAATAATTTACAGAAATTTCTTACAAATTTTTTTATGAAAATAATCCACAAATGTTTTTTTGTTGCAAATTTTGCTACAATTTTAATGATCATAAAAAAAATTCCACAGTAAAAATTTGCAGAAAATGTTGTAAAAATTTATCTTGTTTCTTACGGATTTTTTTTGTAAAAATAAATTCTCAAGTAATGTTTACTAAATGGTAAAAAAATTTCGCAAGAAAATTTTCTTGCAGATTTTCCTGCCAATTTTAATTCGCAAAAAAATAAAAAATATATAAAACTTTATAAGTTTAAGAATTAAAATATTTACCTTGAGTCCCATATCGATTAGAAATATTAAAGAGTATATAAGTTGGGGTAACACTCAGTTGATTTTGTATGGTTGATTGTTAGACATATAATTTACATGTTTTAGATAAATTCATTGTAAGCATTTGAAAGTTGAAGAATTATTAATAGAAATTGTATAAAAATTACTTATGAATACTAATTTCTTTGATTTTTTTCTAGCAAAAAAATTCGCAGAAAATTTCATAAAAAACTTTTCTGCGAATTTTTTTCGTATGAAACTTTCCTACGAATTTTTTTCCTATAAAACTTTCCTGTGAATTTTTTTCACAAGAAAATTTCTTGCAAATTTTAAAATTTGCAAAGGTATTATGGAGATAAAATTTCGCAGAAAAATTTGTAGGAATAACGTTTCCTGCAAATTTTTATGAAAGGTTCGTAGGAAGAATTGCATGTAATAAGAAAAATTCTAGTAGTGTCTTAAATTTTTTAATAAATAAAATATCTATTATTAGTAACAAAACCATATACGATTCTCCTTACTTTTTATTTTTATTTATTTTTAAATTTAAAAATGTCTTTTTTTTTTTTTTTTTTTCATGTGTGTGGGTGAATGAACGGGGCAAAATCCAAGCACTATCTTTCGCAATACACAATAAATAACTTGCTAATAGAAAGAGAAAATTCTTCTTTAACGGTTAATTTCTAAGCGAGAAAATAAGAAAATTTTATTTCTATATTATTTCATGAATATAAAATAAAAGAATTGTACGTTTTATTCGATTAATAAAAGATACTAGTATATATAATTTATGTATAGATATTGAGGATAGCTTGACATACTGTCCCATTACACGTTGGCACACAAGACTACCAAGAGTTGGGAGCTGATTGCATACTGAGACTCGATCTGTATTCAATGTTAAATTATATTCCTTATTTTTTAATTTTATCTGATCAACTTTTCATTCAAACTACATTTTAAATTTGGAAGTCCACCTTCAAACGCGTATACCTGAATAGTGAATCCAGTTTTGTTATCTTTAAAGATATTTTCAAATATTTTTTCTTCAACATAACAGTTTATACAGATAATCAAGATTATTTTCATCTGCTATCTTTCTTTTCTTTGGTTTCAATTTGGTATTTTGTCAATTGTGTTGCTTTGTGAGAATAAAAAAATTTAGAGTTTTGTTTTGTCAATTACAACCATTTTTGTGTCAATTATGATAATCTTTAACCTTCATTAAAACCAGTGAGTTAACAGAAAATCTAAATTTAAAAATAGATAAATAGAAAATATAAGAAACATGTTAGATTATAAAAATATTAATTTTGTCAAAAAGTATAGTATAACTTTTGAATGAATGAGAGTGTAGTATGTACACATATCATATGCGCATATACAAGATCAGTTGCCTGTTGCACACGAGACTAAAACTGAGTCCAAGAGTTGACAGCTCCTTTGCATAGTTCCTATTCAATTTTAAATTCAATTTTTATGTTAATGAAATTCAACTCCAAGATCATATACCTGACTGAACCCTCTTTTTAATCTTTAATGATATTTTCAAATACTTTTTCTTACTGACCAAAGATTAACGTAATCATTAATCGATTTGATTAAAGCTGATTATGGAAACAGTCCAAGGACTTACAATTCCAAAGGAAGCAAGAAGTAAGCATTGATCTTTTCTTGGATGAAGGATAAATAAATAAAGTGACATTATATATTTCCGCTAATCCAAGTTACGCTTGCAGTCTTACTCGTCTGGCATTTGGCTAATTTAAAATTAGGAGAAAATTTTTTGACGGTACAAAACATACTTATATTCGTTCGTTAAAAAATGAAGCACGAATGCCGTATGATGATTGTCATGATTTTTGTATTTTATTTATACATTTTTTTTTTTATATCCGAGGAATTTGTCTAATTTACTTTTCAAGACGAGATTCAGAATGAATTGGCAACGCTTTGACCTTTGTGATATTTTTATATATATTCGACATTCTTTTCTTTTTCTTGGGGGAGGGGAGGTCAACCATGTATTTTTTTTATTCTTTATTCAAACTCAACAGTTTACAAGTTATTTAATAGACCTGGTAAAAGCTTTGGCGCTGAAGAATTAGCACTTGTTGAAATTCTCCCAATGACATATTGCATTCATGTTAGGTAAGATACAATAGAATAAGACATACAACTACTGTCTATATTCAAAATATGAGGAAAATATATATATTTAGTTTCTTTAAATTTAATTTTACTCATTTCAGATTTCTTTTTTATCTGAATCTGTGATTATTAATTATTTTTTAAATAGCTTCTATCTATGATGACTTACCAATGATGTTAGTTGCATTTATTTAGTGTTGATACAAGCTATATTTTTGAAACCGGAAGCTAACAAAAACTAATTCATATTGGAATACTCGGCTGCTCTCGACCATGCATTAAAGTCTCATGTCCATGCATTATGATTGGAATATTGAAGGAGTACTCGTTTGAGGGCTACTCAGTTAAGATTACTTTGACCGTAGGGTACTCCACCAACGAATACTCGATTGAAGACCTCTTTAATGGAGGGATACTCGACTTAATATGATGCATTGTGGTAAAAATAATATAACGTCCCACCATTACGCAATAATAAAAAAGACTTGAATGTGTTTGGTTAATTGAATTCGTTTCAATAATTTTATGTTATCTATTTTTATATATATATAGTTATAGTTGGGATGTAAGTAAAGTCTCACATCGTTCAAATAAAAAGATGGACATAAATTTATATACACACAATTATATATATATATATATATATATATATATTATATATATATATATAATATTA